CCTTGTGTGCCCCTTTAAACTTCTTTTTCTCCACCCCCCCCCCCCCCCCCGCCCATTTCCTTAAATAATTAATTTAATGTAAATCCAGGAGATCAGATTCCATTTTTGACCTAATCTCATCTCTTCCCTACATGTGGCTCTTGAGCAAGGCAGGGTATGGGAATGGTACCGATCAGTGCCCCCGGGCTACACAGAGCCGCTCTTTGCAGCTGTAACCTCCTGCAGCTCCGCCCGCGGCACGCATGTGATTGTTGTCCTTAATGCTGCTCCGGAGCTCGACATAATGGGTTAATAGGCTCCCCCAGGATCCCAGGGGCCCCGTGGGAGCCCTCAATCCACTCAGACCCACAGAGGCTGCAAGGGGCGAAACTAAAGCCACCATGTCGTCTGACACAGTGACAGGACATCAGAGCCACGCGAGACTCGAGGGGCTCAGAGATAATGGAAGACATAGAGGGTCGTTGTTGTTGATGATATGAGGTAAACAACACAACATTTCCTTTAAAATGATTATAAAATATTATTCTACACAAACAAAGCCATCCACATCCCTACACCTCCTTATCTCTTCCTGCACTCGGCTTCTACCGTCCACCTCTGCCTGTTTCACTGCCTGTTTCACTGCACAGTATTCAGTCCCTCTGCTCCCAAGTTCTGGAATTCAACCTCCTTCTCCTCCCAAACCTCGGCATCACTGATTCATTAGCATGTTTTAAATCTAACCGCCAACCTCATCTGCTCAAACCTACTTACTCCCAGTAACATGAAGATTGAGGTCAGGTGACCATGAGTATGTTCGAAGGCACAAACATAAAATGTATTATTATTATTATTATTATTATTGTAAAAAAAAACAGACGGGGGGAAAGGAGTGACAGACGTCACTCCTTTCCCCCAGTCAGTCCTTGTCGTTTCATTGTTGTGTTGGTTAATGTTCATTGCAGGTAGTTGTTGATATTCCTGTGTTACAGTACCACTAAAAGTTCCAGTTTTCTTCACGTTCTTCTTGCCTCTCTTCCTGCCTGCCCCAGGTTCATTGGCTTGGATGATTAGAGTTTGGAACTTTATGAATAAACCGCTTGCATCAGGCCTTGGTCTCTAGAGTACTGCATTTGGATCCTACCTGCATCCAGAGTCTCCAAAATGTAACTATTATTATTATTATTATTATTATTATTAATTTATTTTATTATTATTATTATTTCAACAATTAACAATGGATCTAGAAGTAAGGCTGCTTACCATTGATTATTTTTCTCATAACATTAACAAAATAGCTTCCACTTTTGCATCAGCATTGGATATTGTGGGAATTTGGAAATGTTCTGAAATGAAAAGGAAAAATTAACATTGATAAAGTTCACTAACAGTGAGGCAAAGACCAGCAAAAAATGGTTACAATTTGGTACTAACTTACACTCAAAGTACGTCTTGTCACAGGTTCGGTCGTTCTATCTATCGATCAGTTTGACGATAAGAGTTCAGAGAATCGATGAGTTCGTCTGGGTGTTGTGGAACAGTCGGGACAGGGGTGTGTGGCAGGTTCTGCACAAAATGCAGGAAGTTGTTGAGCTGGAGAGGGGCTCCAGCCACTCGACTGAGGGGAAAGTACCGTCACTGCTCCACAAGTGCTTGGAAGTGCTTCACTTGAGTTTCCTCTCCGTGTGAATACCAAATCAACAAAAGTAGCAGCAACATTGTTGAGTTGGGCTTCACATTGTCCAGTGTGTGAAGGCAGCATTAGTGATGTGCCGGGGCTTCACTTTGTTTTAAATCAAGTATGAACGGATGTCTTGGCCATGACTGAGGGAGGTTCAAATGTGAAAACCTTATTTGATGCTAAATGTTCGGGTGAAGAAAAATTTGCTGTGTAATGTAGGATTCCACAAAGCATTATGTGGCCTGTTGTACCATGAAATATTTTGGCTACATCAACAGGAAAGAGGAGGAAAGAACCATGGTCCTGTTGAGAAGGTCCAACGTGTCATGAAGGGAACAGATGGAACAGAAACCAGTAGAATTATACTGGTGATGGATAACAGTGGAGACCACAGAGGATAAAGAGGTGTGTTATTTGCCTTCAGTTCACCTGTATGAAGACATTTGGTCCCTGGGGGGCTTCATAGAGGACAAAATGTAGATACTGAGTAATGTGTCATCTGTGATGTAAGAAATCTATCAAATCTATATTAATTTCTGGTGTAAAACCAGAGAAGGTAGATGATCCGCTATGGCGACCCCAGAAGGGAACGGTCTGAAGAAGGAGAATCACATTTATATTAATTTACTGTAGTACCAGAGCCAGGTGAGTATTGTCAGGGTGTGTTAACTTGCATTAGTAATGTAATGAACCATTGGCAGTACAATTACATACGTTATGTGACATGAAAAAGGTTGGGAAAAGGTCAATTTGGAGGAAAAATCATGGATGAACATGGACTTTAAAGATCTACTCTAATTTAAAGAAAATTGCTTCTGCCTCTTCCCTTCACCTGCAGACCTTTTGCCTACATTTTATTCCTTCAAAAAGCCTGCAACCAAAGATGCATCTAGCTGGATTTTGCCACTCTTGTCTTTAATGAGAAGCTTTTTTAACCTTCTACTTTAATTCTTTGAGGTTATTATCTCATTGACGTGACACTCACACAGCCTTTAATTCTGCTTAGACTGACTGAGGAAACCCTACATTTGGGATCCCTGTAGCTTTAACAATTAGGAAGATCTAAAGAAATCCCATTCATGGACTGGCTGAACGACTATTGTTGGTAGGGAAGGATCACATTTAGGGCAGAATGGAGCGGCCTGTAATCCTAGAGCTGCTGCCACTGCTGCTGTGTCGTTCCCTGGTTTAACACCCGGTGTGCTAACAAGGCCTCCCACTGGAGCCATTACAAGAGGAAAAACCAACAAAGGCAGTTATTACGCACTCCTTATAACACACACCAGGGGTGAAGGGGGGTGAGCTGGACAACACTGGAACAAAAGTGCACCGAGTAACCCACTCACACCCTGACCTCCGCCCCGACTGCCTCTCCTACAGACCCTAACCCACAAGCCTCACCACTCATTCAGCATCAGCCTCTGCCACCACACGCAGGCCCTGGAACTGTGTGGAGGTGCGTGACACGGATGGGAGGGGGTCACCAAAGGTCGGGAGAGGTTAGGGGTTTAGTGGTCTGTTAATTGAGTGAGTCCATTGAGGGAACATGTGGCTCAGCAGGGCTTCAGTTAGTGCTGTGAACGGGGGGAGGGGGGGTGCAGGTGTGGACGGGAGGGGGGGGGG